CTAGTAGCTTCTTGCTCCTAGTAGCGATGCCAGGAGCCCCTAGTAGCGTTCTTGCTCCTACTACTATATATATATATATATAGATACTGTAGTGCTAGTATTTTGTACCGAGAGCCTGAAGGCTTCCAGCTGAGTGCAGGGCATTAGCCTCTTGACTGCGGCTTTGATGAAAACAGAGTTCTGGCGGGGTGACATTCGGTAATTCAGCATAGGATAGCATAGGTCGTCTATCGTAGTCTAGTCAGATCGAAGATGATCAAAGGGCATTGGCTATCCAACAAAACCTTTGAAAGGGTTTGTGTTTTCACTTAGATCCTCAAGCAACTCATTTCAGGTCACAGTTTCGTTCCCGTTTCTCATGCGTCATTCGTAGCCTGCCCTACGCCACCGGCCATGTCTATGACAAGTAGGGGCCGGAAGCCTTCCACCTCAACAAAGCGAAGACTCTTAACCTTCACGAAGCTTCGAAGGAACAGAAAAGGTGTGAATCGAAGATTTAGAAAGAACCCATCTCACAAAAACTGGCTGATTCCATCTGATTCCAATTGAGCGACCGGCAAAACTAGGGGTCGTTTGGTGGTACGTTTAGAGCATGGTATCGTTTTTGGGATTGGTATCGTTTTTTCAACCCATATGCAATTTTTTTTTGGGAGGTATCGTCTAAATGTAATTTGCTCTGGAAGGTGATCTTGCAAATGATGACTAGTAGTCGTCGTGTACTAGTACTAGTACTACGTACTAGCAGTAGTAGTAGTAGTAGTAGTAGCAGTAGCAGTAGTAGTAGTCGTCGTCGTCGTCGTCGTCATAGTAGTAGTAGTAGTAGTAGTAGTAGTAGTAGCAGAAAAAGAAGTAGTGGCATGTGAGTGGGCAGGTGGTGTCTGAGGGGATACAGACCTATGAAGTGGGTATCGTTTGGTATCGTTTTTGGTATCGGTCTGAACCCATAATTGTTTCCCATCAAAGAAAAAGAAGGGAAAATTAGCAAAAATTAACTGGAATGTCCAGCTAGCATGGCAAACCATATGCAAAAAAACCTTGGACATACACTGTCTCGAGTGTCAACATTGTCAACAGGCAAAGATAGATTCCAAGATGTGTACCGTCACAAGGCTAGGTATCGTTTTTGGGATTGGTATCGTTTTTTCAAGGAACATGCAAATTGCTCATTTTTGAAGAAACGTGAGCGCCGACCTTTAGCACTTTGCTCAATTTGTGTTTGTAAGAGTATCAAGAGGTTATTCCATCTCTTGGTGTCAAGTGTGCTTTACCACTGTGTCAGTATTCGTGTTTCAATTTGAGTTGCCAACAAGTCCGAGCCGAATTACTGTGTGCAGTCAGTAGTCTCAGACTGGGTTAATGATTTCTTAGCTTTGGGTTGCTCCTGCTACACGTACCAGCTGGAGCCAATGCATGGTTTGCTTGATATGATAAATATAGCTGTTTTAACCAACTACTCCGACCTTGGCCCCGCATGAACCTCAATGTTAACATGTTGCATGTTTTGGGGAGTGTCCTTCGGCCTTTAGCGTCCTTAGCATCAACATGCGTGTTTCTTCGGAGCAGATTGCGTTTCTGGGGGCCGGGGCAGGTTGGAGCACGGGGGACCTGTATTTTGCACATGCGTGCACACGGAAAGCGTTTGTGGAAGCCGTTTTTCTCATCCAGCCACCCCACGGAATTTCATTTTTCCTTGTGTCTTGTTCTATTGTTGTGTCTTGGCGCCTGACCCATGTGTTGAGTGTTGAAGAACGCTACAATCGATCTTTGCCTGTTGGATTCTGCTTTGGATCTGACCCTCTATCCGACTTTGTGCAGACATTGTGCGTCCCAGGGGCCACGAAAAGGGATAGAAGTCGCTTTTGCCCTTGTGTGCAGTAACCCTGCCAGCAGACCTGCTTCTTTTACTGGGCCTGCAAATATGAAACCAACAATACACTTTAGAGGTGCCTGCCATAAAACACACAAAACCTGCGTCTGGAGCACATTGCAAGTTGCATGTGTTGGACTTGTAAATCCCACGGGGCCGCGGTTTGTGTCATCGCCTTGTTTTACAATATTATACAATATTGAAGAGCATGTTTGTCGCTATGGTGGCGGTCTATCTGTGATTCTTCACCTGCGGCTGGTGCTGGGCTGGTGCTGTTACTGTTTCATGTTGTTTCTCGATTATAGTCAACTCTTTCCAAAGACGGGCGTACACGGCTCATCAACAAAATGGAAGGCTTTGGAACCTCCAGTGCTAAATTGACGATGCTGGAATGACTGGATATTGGAGAGGCATCATGAAACCGGGTCCTCTTTGCTCGTCACCAGCTTTCTGCAGAAGATTGGATGGAGGCCCCACAGTAGTCCACCAAAGTGGAGGAATTCTTGCCGCAGGCAGACACTGGACATTTGGCCACCGCTTGTTGACAACACGGGCGCATCGAATTGCTTGCTACCTGATGAAATGGTCCGATCGACGAGGGGATGAAATGGATCCATTGCAAATAAGCAAGGCACGTTTTGAAATAGCTCTGCTAAGTAGAGCAGCTCATGGAGCACGAGTAGCGACAACTATGACTATGACATTGAATGACTAGCTGGTGGTGGCAATGCAAGAAAGACAATCCAGTGCAGCACGGAAGAGGCTTCAATCATGTATGATTATTGGATTATAGACATATTAGTTATATATATATATACAGTTGTATCAAGGCAGACTTACAATACAGCAGCAAGAATATGGCGGCAGGTGTCAGGGAGCAAACCAAATAGCCCACCTAAAGGAGAAGGTGGTGGAAGGTTGCTTGCAACATGTCACACTTGATTACCCTCTGGTGAGAGTGCCCCATTGCTCCGTTTGAGGTGCAACGAAATGCGACTTCCAGTTGTCTTGACTTGTACACCATTCTAGGTCCTAGGTTATGACCTGGCAGACGAGACAGCCAGATTAGCAAATCGGCAAGATATACCACAAGTGTTACAAATATCTATAGTAAAGATATCGCAGAATACAAGACGAAGCAAAGACAACAACTCTTGGTCCTCTATCGCTACCTGGCTGATCTTAACACACTACATTCCAAGTTGAAATGCGAGCGAGAATAGAATGAAGAAGGCTTTGATATTGAAGCATTTACCCAGGTTCATTCTCGTTTTCGTACTTGGCAACCTTGGAAAGGTCAATCTGATCTCCAGTGGCAACTAATGGCATGCCTTTGGGGACGCCAAACAGCTTCACAAGTCTAAGGCTTTTTTCCAGCACCTTACATGGCAGTCACTCGAAGTGCCCATCCCCTCACAAATGTTTCCATTACCTGGGTTGAACTTGTGGTCTTGTACATGCCGTGTCCGGCCACTTCAAATGACAAGGAACCTTCCGCCTTTGATTCACCAGAGGCGTCAATCCTTCCATACTCAAACCGAGCACTTAAATGGCAAGCTCATGGCTTGAGTGCGGCCATCCGTTGTTTGGAAAACATCACGAAGACATACGAAGACCTCTTTATCCCCTCGATATCCAAAAACCTCTTGATCAGCTTTCAGACAAGGATTTCATCGCAGCCTGATTATCTGGAGGGGTAGCATCACGGCATCACGACCGCCCTTGTTCCTAGGAGCACCCCTAGTAGCGTCCTTGCTCCTAGTAGGGATGCCCTTGCTCCTAGTAACTAGTAGCTTCTTGTTCCTAGTAGTATACGCAATGGTCCGCTCACTTGGTGAATGAATGGATGCCTACGCTAAGTTACCTGAGCAGAAGTTCCCCTGTCACGTTCTTGCCATCATGCAGCCAATCGATTCATATTGTTCAACTCAAACCATCCTTCAAGGTGAGCTGGCTTACCACTTTGCCGGAAATTCCAACAGCAACTCAACAAACACCTCAAGTAGAACAAGTCTATTCACTCCATTTTGCCGCGTTTGCCATCCTAATTCACTAGATGCATTTTCTACCCTCTCGTTGAACCTGCGTCTCCGGGTTAAGCGGTTCGCCATTCGACATTAATTCTACTTACTGGAACAGAATCTTACTTTCTGAACTGTTGAGCAGGTATGTGAGTCAACGGGACAAGCATGGACAACCCATGTCTGACTTTCTTTTTGTGGTTGTACGCTAAGACCATCCAAAGACCAATAACCCCCTGTATATGTCTGGAAGGGCTGTGGGGCGCGATTCAACGAAGTACACTGATGTATGTTTGGATCAAACAACTCAACCACAAGAAACCAACACCTGTGAAAAAGAGAAACGCAAGGAGGAAGAGGGGGAGAAAGGGAGAGACAGTGAATGGGAGATGCGAGACAGAATTAAACTAGAAACCTCCGCTAAAAGACAAGCAACGGCCTTAAATTGGGCCCTGGCGCTGTTTATATAAATAGAATATCAGACTTATATATGTTGCAACATTCTTGGCCACAGTATGCAAGCCTGGCCAAAGCTGCTCTCGTCGACTTCATTTAGCAAGCTACCAAATTCCTGGCAGGTCACAGCAGAAACAGCCACCAGGAACAAGAAGCTACCAGGGGCTCCTGGCATCGCTACTAGAAGCAAGGACGCTACTAGGGGCTCCTGGCCTTACTACTAGGAACAAGAAGCTACTAGGAGCTAAATGCCTGGAATCCCAAGCTCTCTGCAGAGGCCCTCTTACCGTTCCTCTTGTTTTGTGTAAAGAATATTATTTGGAATCAGAAGACGATTCAGCCGGACAAGTAGCTAAGGAAACCGGGTCAGGTCTTGTTACATAGGGTATATATGTATGTATTTACAATGTGCCACGGCTTCCTCAGATGAGCTCTCTTTAGATCCGCGGCCATGCATGTGTAGCAGTGTAGCATTTTTAGCTCTCCTTCTCAGGCTTGTAGCTGTACGGAAGCCTGCAAGACCACAATCGGCCTATGTCACATTGCTCACTGAATGGAGCCGCAATGGTCACACACACATGCATTGAGTGCTGCACATGTTGGGTGCATAGTCCTGAAAAGGCCATCAAACTGCCGACTGGTCATCCACAAGCATAGTGAAGCAAATAGTGAAGCAAATAGTGAAGCACAAGGATGCTTTCGGTCCTCCCGACCAGCTCCTCGCTCGAGCAGAGAGTACAAGGCCTGACTCGCTTCAACAAGGACAAGGTCCTTTGAAAAGCATGGGATTCTGACTAAATGGAGACAGTCTCAGCGAACCTCCAAGCATCTTCGAAAAAAGTCCAGACGAGCACGGATCTCCTTAGACAACAGTCATTCAACAAGCTAGCTCTTGCAGTCATTCCTGCTTTCTCTCCAAGAAGTCTCAAAATAGCTCTTGCATGCTCTTGCTATCTTTGTCGACAAAGACAAGAAGTATTTGCGCCTGCACTTTTCGTCCGCAGAGCCGCTCGAACTCAATGATGTCCACCCGAGCGATACTGCAAGACAAAAGTATCACCGCGTGCGAACACTACGTAGTCACTCAGTGATGAACAGTTTCTCTTCGTGTCTTTTGTCTTGTCATTTTTATATATTATGTTTATGCTTTTCTTGAAATACAAGACTTCTTTTCATCTTTGGAGCCTAAAGAAAATTGGGAGTGGCGACACCACAGATCCTGGCCGCTCTAGCGGCCGAAGGGACACCTCTGGGCAGTGGAATTTGGAGTCGACTCGCCAGCAACAAAGAGCACTGCATGGTTCTCTCAGGCTGACCGAGATTCTAGCAGTGATGTATGAATGCCCTGGATCTGCAGGCATCTCGTGCATCTGCCAGTTCAGCATTTCACACATATTATATTATATAGTTTATGTGTTTTCTTCGCTGTGTTCTGCTGACAGAGCCTCTCTGAATCGCGTTGTGATGTATTCACGTAGCTTGGGTGTCAGCTGCTCTACCTGCAACACTCTGAAAGTATATTGAGCTGCAAAACAAGTAAAGTTCTTCCATGTTTTCAGAAGATCGAAAGTTGCTGATGGCCTCCCAGTCACCACACGGCCTGCTGAGGCTCTCCTCCCGCTTAACTGATTATTATGTCAAGAAAATGTCGAAAGTTTACCAAGTCTGCTCTCATTGCTGTGCAAAAAAAACATTTGCATGTGTAGCCTTGCACATCTTCGCTTAAAGGCAAAAAGGGAACAAGTTCAAGGACTGAGTCCTTGCGCGGAGCTTCTCGAGCCTGGAAGCTTTCTGAAAACTGTAGATCACTTCAGCTGCAAACTGCAAAGCAAAACTGCACTAGGAGTCCTAGGAGTCTCCAGATTTTCCTTCTAAGAAAATCACTTTGCCTGTCGAGGTTGCAGATCCTCCTGGAAGATTTCTTGTGGTCCTCCGTAGAGTTGAGCTTGGGCAAACGCGCCAAACGCCAAAGTGTTTTGCGTCTTGACTTCTCCTTTTGTGTTCACAAAAAAAGCACATATATATATATATATCCTTTTGGAGGCCATCACTATTGGCTTGGAGGCAATTGTTCATAGGTTATTTAAACCAATCCCACTCAGCCCACCTGCCTGGAGGGCTCTCTTTGAAGCCGAAGCTGGACATGACACTCACGGGTGCAAGGCAGTCTGTTCTTCTGAGATCCTCAACTCAAGAAGAAATGATCGCAAAAAGAAACTTTTCTGATCTCTGATTGTTTTCACAAAGGTTCAGCATGATGTCCATCACGTCCGTCAATCTAAACACTCAGAAAAATGCCTCCAAACGATCTACCGCACGCTGCGTGGGAGCATCAGCCTTAGGGTATCATAAATCTACAGCATAAATCTAATTTTTGGAGCTAACCTGACCTTGCTCGGTGAACATTCAATAAAAACTGAAAAATACATGGGAATGTGCCATGCAAATAGAAATCGCGCAAAGCTGTTCGCACCTTGGCAAAGGCCGGAATTTGCTTTGTTGTTCTAGTGAAGCTCAGATCCTCGGCATGTTGCACAGCCTTGCTTGTGTCCAGTCGCCATGCTAAGTTCCAAGGGTCTTGATTAGCCAACGATGTTCAAGCTGCATGGGATTGCTTAAAATTGATGTTTCATGGCTTGACTCTTTTAGAAACTTGGCCATACACATCTCCAAGGCCATGAGAGAGCTGTAGCCTTGTGAGGTCAAATGAGGCAGGGTGAAAGCGAGGTTCATGGTGGACCATCTGCCTGCGGTGGGACCCAAAAATTGACATTCACTTTTTTTTCCATAGATGTTGTTTTAAAAAAAACTAAACAAAAAGGAAAAGGCACCTTTAATAAGGCCCCCTTTTACTGCACTTCAACAGCATGTCTTTGTGCATCAACGGTGGTTAGCACGACTCAATCGTGCATGTGCACCAGCAGAAACTGATGTGGCACCTGTTGCTCCACAGACTGAGTCACAACAGCACGTGCCTACACCCCGCAAGTTCTGCCCCATGTGGCCATGGGGCATTGATCCCTGCGAATATACCTGGAAGCCCGCTGTTCCACTGGACATACCACTGGGCTTTTCTGCAATTTGTCCATTCCTTGAAGTGGCATGTTGCACCTCCATTTTTGAGCTGGCAATTTTGTTTTTGTTCAATGAAAGTGCCATTTACTCCACCTGCAGGGTGCATCTCTACCCCTGCATTATATGCAAAGATCCTTCGAGAAGGTTTGGCCATTTGCAAAATTCGTGGTGTTGCAGTTGTGCCGTTGTACCCCACATTTACCAACAAATGTGGTGGTAAGGCGTTTCAAAAAGGTTCTTTCGTTGGAGCAAAGGCTTTTATCACTGACTCTGCGAGATGTCTTGTATGCAGTGCTTTCTTGAAGGGTGGTGGTGAAGCTCACCTCGTGGGAGATTCCGTTTGAGAATTTGTTGTGAGTTTTGTGCGGGGCGCGGAATGCCGTACTGCCAGAGTTCTCTGCCCGGAGTGAAAGACAAAAATAAGGCCACTTTACTAAGAAGAACTTTAGCACTTTTCTCACCTTCCGCCAAACACTGCAATGGCGACTTGGTTGGGTTTTTGCTTGTTCAGTTTTTAAACTTGCTGTTGATGCTTACAGTCGTGGCTTTCACATATGCCAAAATTTTGCGAGATGGTTTTCCTGTGTGCAAGTTGAAAAATGTCCCTGTGACTCCTCTCTTTTTAGTTCCGCAACAAAAACAACGAAGCTCTTCGGTCGCCGTGGATTCGCATTGATCGGCGTGAGAGCAACAACAACTTGTAAGGGACCGTTTTCAAAAGATCCTACTCTTTTTGTTCTTCTCTTTTCCCCATAAATAACAGCTGCCCACTCAGCGCTAGGTCGGTCCTGCCTTGCAGCTGGGTCTTCCGGTTCTTGGACTAGCACCTGCAACATGTCAGCGTTGCAGTCACACGCTCTCGGTCAGTGAGTGTTTGCCAGCCTGTCTATGCAACAAGGTTGGAATCATCTCATTCTTGCGTTTCTGAAGCGCTTCACCCAAGGCATGGACAGCTAGGACCTCCTCATAGTCGCGCAAAGCGTCTCCTACACGCTCGTCACCAGGGAGCTGGGCCTGCTTGGTGTTGGTCAGCCTCAAGTCAGGGTTTGTTTTTGTCCAATGATCCTCACTGGAATCTGTAGCCGCACCTAAGCAGCTGCCCTTCTACCTTCGCCCTTGCCAGTGCCGCCCGAACTTGCGAAGCGAGATCTTCGACCTTCAGCTAAAGCAATCCAAAGCGTTCTTGCACAGGTATGTTCAGGAATGTGAGGATGAAGCCTTTCAGTGTACTCCCAGGAATTACTTGTGAAGCTTTTGTGAGTGAATTTCAAGAACATTTATATAATAAAGGAACCTTGGTGATTGAAGTTTCCCGATTTAGAAAGTAATCAAGAAAACAATGAGGTGGAGCGCGGTTGGAAACGAGAACTTGCTGTGTGCAAATGGAGACTTGGAGATGCTTCGCAACACCAACCTGAACCAAACTTTGTTGGTGACAGTTTGGTGCACGTCTTTGCACAAAAATTGCAACAATTGCTTTGGGTGGGGTGAAGGGGGGTGAGGCTATGACAATGTCGCAAACAAAGGGATTGAACCCTTACATACCCCCTGGAGGGTAGGGCAACGATAATGACATTTTGGTATGAATGTGTCAATCCATCCCCAACATGACAGCATATCACAGCACCCTGACCCAACCGAAAGCTGGGAAATTGTAGAAATCTAAGCATGGTCAGGATATGCCAGAGTAAGAGTGCCAAGTGCTCTTACATCCTTCCAGCACTCCGAAACAAACGAAGCCAGACCATATCAAATTCCAAACTCACACGTCCTCGACCCCTCAGAGGAAACATCCTTGACGTGTGTGTGCGTTTGTGTGTGTGTGTGTCAACCCCTGTCTCTAACGGGGCCACATCACTTCACCACTGCTGTTTCTTTTCACTTGCTGTAGTTCACTCTACAAGTACCTATCTAGCAATAACTCACGCCGTAGAGCTTTGTTCCATTTGTACAGCAAGGGGCAGTAGCCCGCTCATGAGTCTACTGCCAACGAAGCTACTCACGAGTTGGGAGGATATCGGAGCTGATCACTCCGACGTACCTGCACTCCAATTGTTTGTTGTGTTTCTCAAGCTGTGACTCCAGTTTTCCCGTAAAGTGCCAACGAGTGTGTTCAACATTCCTGTTCCTCGGACTTATACCGTACCCTCAGCCAAGGTCTAGCTACATTAAAGGTCTACAATAATTGCAGTAACACTGGACATTCACCAACTGATGTTTGCTCTCGCGAGCTATCTATCTATATAAGTGTCTGTACACCTTGGACTCGTGGGTTTTCTGCCGAAGTGGGCCCTTGGCATGCACGAGAGCCACCGAAGACGCTCACGCAGTGCTTGTGTAAACGTACCGTACCTGCTATTGACCGCAACTGAGGATCTAAGTGCAGCTGGTGGTCTGTTTATCTAGAATCTAGAACAAGTTGCTGGCCTTTGCATCGGTTTGCCGTTTGCCCTTGGCAGTCAAGTTTTCGCCTTGCATCTTTGGGACTTGGACTTGGAGACCTTGCTTGGAGACTTTGTTTGGTGCGCTTTGGAATTGTTTTGGATTTCATGGACGCCTACATGCCGCTTCACTAGGATTGTGGAACACCTGGTTTACTCAAGCAACTTTTTCACTCAGGGGTCTTCAGGACATTTGGCTGCCTTCGTACATACTTTCAATCTCGAGTGTGCAACAATCGCCTAGTGTTGATGTTTCAGCTTTTGAGTTTCCTTGCAGATTCCAAGGGGTTCATCAGCTCTGGTGGTTCTGCTCCTTTTCTGTCCAAAGCAAGCTCAGAACAAGAGTTGAAGGAGCAGGCTTGAAGCCACTGAAGCTGAAGGTAATCTCAAAATCAAATTTGTGCGCAAGGGGCGCATGAAGCACATGGATGCCAACACAAATGGAATGCTAAAAGGGACAACATGAAGGTTACTACTAGGAGCAAGAAGCTACTAGTAACAAAGGGCATCGCTACTAGAAACAAGAAGCTATTAGGGGGTAGGCCGTAGAGGTGGGGTATTTATTACCTAGGAAGCTACTACATATATATTGGACGCAGGATAGCTCACGCTTCTTCAAGGAAGCTCCCCCCGCCGCCCCAAAAGCAGCGGGGGGAGCTTCCTTGAAGCGCTCGCACTAATGATTTGGTTCCTAGAGTTTGGGAGAAACGTTACATCTTGGCAAATGATGTCCAAATTTACCCATTGCCTGTCCTTTCCGGGATGCTTCCCAAATTGCCAAAGAAAGCTAAGCTGTTCTAGATAAAAGATATCAACTACATATATATATATATTATATATAACTATACTAAGTATTTTTTATAACTATGACTATAACTATAATTCCAAAATGACAATGTGCTAAGTGTACATGTGATATCATGTGATTACATGTCTACAGTCTATATGGTATCTAAGGCTTCCAAATGCTTGCTGTTTGATCTGCGCTATTGCTAACAAAGCCATTGCTAACTAAGCCTGCTTTGTGGCTTTGTTGCTTTGGCTGTGGTTAGCTTCACAGTCGCAAGCTTCCACCCCTTTCTGAGTTGATGGCCAGCGCATCTCCATCGATGCTGACCAAAAACTTTCCGATCGTAGCATCGCCTCAGCACGTCTTGTAGTGGGGTGTCCAGTTTGAAGTTGCGGTTCCATTATTCTGCAAGCTTAGGGTTACTTGCAGCTGTATGTCCAAAGCTGCTAAGAAGACAGCAAAACCTATCGCATGCTCTGCTTCAAGACTAAGTGCCTTGCCAATCAGTGCGACTACATTGAGTCGTACTTTTCCAGCCCTGGAGGCTGCATGGAGGTGCCGACCCACAGATACTGAATGTAGAAAATAGGTTTCTTTTGACAATCCCATTGAGCTTTTGGAACAGCTGCTCTTAGTTCTTGGTGTGAAAAAGTACTAAGCTGAGCACGGGCTGCCGACAGAGGACATGGCCCCAGTCTACTCTGAGCCACACCAAAACGCGCAACTTCAACTTGTGCTGTCTTTGTATGCAAGTTTTAGAGCAAGTTATTCCCTGTTCCAATGCAAATCAGCCAAGCAAAAATGCCAAGGTGTGATTGAGTTTGCTTAAGGACTTTTAGCCGAGCTTATGATCGGTTTGTTCTAGTCCGTCCATCCTTGGATCAGCAAGCGATCTCCATGGAGCTGCAGCTTGCAAGAAAGAACAGAAGCTGCTGTCAAGCATCACCAAACTGAGCCTGCATTTGCTCGCCTTGATCCTGTAAGCTGTTCTTGGCCAAGTGCAGCAATATTCTTTCACACTCTCATCAAGGAGCCACTACAGCAGCGAGATAGCTCTTGATCTGAGTTTAAAGAACGTTGATTTTAAGCACCAGAAACAAGTGCATCGCTACTAGTAGCTTCTTGTTATCAGTAGTAATGCACTTGTTACCAGTAGCGATTTGTTCAAGCACAAAAGTATCTGGCACTTTCCCGCCCGCCTCACGGGTCTCACTTGAATTGCCTTCGTGTGCATTCCACACCTGCCAGCTTTTTGACGACACATCCACACCTCAAAGCCAATCCCTCCACCTCAACCTGCTTCTCCAACAATGAGAGGAAGCGCTCCTGTCTACGATACAGTCTTGGCCGGGAAATTGTTGTTGGACTTCAACAAAGTTCAAAGGTGCTCGAAAATGCTCACACTTCATACATTGTTCGACAACCCCTCCCACACCCTTCTTCAACTTAGTTCGGCCTCTTGGTTGCCCATGATTACTCCTTGCCGCCCTTGTCATACAACTTTCAAGAACGCTTTCGTTGACCGTTTGATTTGTCATTCTCCAGTATTCACCTGCTCACTGAGATCGGTTTCACCCTTTGGCTTGGACACGCCACGACCTTACCGTTATGCTCTTCGTGGTCATGCTGGCCATAAAGCAAAGCTAACTAAGAACCCAGCTGAAAAAAACGGCTCCAAGCAAACAAATAAAGGCCAGCACCAGAGTCGCTGCCATAAATATTGGGACCTCAGACTCAGAACAAGGTCTGCCTTCCAACGTAAGGTGCACAAAAGTAGGAAAAAAATAACACATGTTGAGCTTAGACTGCTGAAAACCTGGGCAAGGACCAAAGAAGCATCTTGCTCCTCATCCAGGACAAATGGAACCTCCAGACAGGAGCAAGTCCTTCGTGTATGGTGGTGCATGACCAGATGAAGACTGAGCGAGGCGCTATGCCAGTCACAATAACAAAAGCAGCTCCACACCTTGCTGCTGAACAAATGAAAACTGCAAAAAGAAAAAACACCGAGCTGCTGAGTCTATTTTGTACCAAGCAGCCACATCAAGTGGTTGCTGGTTGCTTGTGGGTCTCGCCGTTGAGAAGCGACAGCACTTTTTAAAGCCTGACTAGCTGTGTGAACAAAGCTCAAACTGTGTGTTTCAAACTCGGGCTTGAAAGTTCTACACAGCAAGATGAAGAATACAAAAACGTGTGTGTATCTGTGTATATATATAGTACAAGCCGGAGAAGTGAGGGTATGAAGGCAGCTCTTGCATGCGCTTAGAGCAATGTGCTTCACTCAAGAAGCTCCAACAAGCAATGTGAGAGTCTCAAGCATTCTCGCGCACAGACCACAAAAGGGCAGCAACAACAACTCCGCTTACGGATTTTTTCTGGGGGAACTTGGTGCTGGAACCGACTGATTCAGAGGTGCCCTTTTTTGCAGCGAGATTGCCTTCAAACAAAGCGCAAACAGAAATGCGGCTTAAGGGTTTTTCTTCGGCTGTCTGCATCTTTCCATACCTTCACCGACTATTCATCTAAAGAAGCGGCTCGCAAGATTCAATTAAAATGCTTGAAGATGCATCTGCCATGTCCTGCTTTGTCAAGGGTCTTATCGCTAGACTGGGCCCCGCTTTTCGGAAGTGCCATTCTTTGCACCCAGACTGCCTTCAAACAAGGCGCAAACGGCACAGAAAAAAATATTCTTAGCATTTTTTGTGGGAGAACTTGGTGCTAGAACCCGCTTAGTCAGAGGTCTCCTTTTTTGCCTCGAGATGGCCTCCAAGCACACTTCGCTCGCCTAAACAGAACTTCAGCCTGGCCTATCGGCTGGCTTTTGTTATACTGTAATTACATGTAATTACATACACCACAGGCCACAGTACTGTATACAAATTCTTGCAAGTAGAGCTGTGCAGCTTCTGCACATGACTTTGATATTTATATGCGAGAAATCACAAGTTCCCCAATCGATAGACAAGCCATGTGAGTGGAAACTGACACCGGCTGCCTTCAACAGTCGACCAAACCAGGGAGCAGTGCATAGCAGTGCGTGAACACACTAATTGCTCAAAAACTAAGTTCCAGATTCAAGCCAAACCAACCAATCAGGTGGGAAAGCACAGGCCGATACCAAAAACTGATTGATTATTCCGTTTGTCTTCAAGGTTCTTTGTGCGTTTTGGCTCTAGGTTTTGCGCCCCAACAGCATGTCCCAAGCGCGCCTCAAGGTCTAGCTGCAAATCTCTCATCCCTGCTTTCATTCGTTGACAAATCAAGTCCTGGGAAAGCACTTGGACACCAATGTACAACAAACTCGCCAATCTCTTTGAAACCAAAATCTACACCATGAGTCAAAGAGTCCTGAGAAAGCTGCCAAGTGCGCATCCGTCCGGCATCCCATTTCGGCATGCAATCTTCGATAATGTCAAGGAGCGAATTCAGATCACTCGCAGCAGGCAGGATTTCAAAACCCCGGCCAAGCCGCTCCTGCAGCAAACGGGATGCCTTTGCAATGAGACGTATTCGGTCAGATTCCCGAGCGACCAGATCTGCCTTAGCCAAAAGGAAATGAAGTACAGGCGGTTCCTCAGAAGCCAACACGCTGGAAAGTAGTGTTAGCAAGTCATCACTGGCAGGTTGCTTAGCCTGCGAGTCCAGAAGACATACCACAATGTCGACTTGGGAAAGAAGGATTTTCACAATGTCCAAGTCATTTTCAGTCACATCACTTGGAGCACGGACTTCAATCAGCTGGAGACCTTTCAAACGGCTACCAGCCACCCGACAAACCTTCACAGCCTTCTTGGGCTCCAAAGAAGGGAACCTTTGAATGAGGCGTACAAGAAGTCCGGGCCATTCCCCCTCTTCGACATCTTCTGACACTGCCCACTGGGCCCAATGGACAGCTGCTTTCAACTCGAATGCTTTCGGTGCTTGGACTGGCCTTCGAGGAAAAACGAGCTCTTCAGCACAAGCATTGAGAAAACTGCTCTTCCCAGAAAGTGCATCGCCAATCACTGCCACAACGACTTGACCCTTGGGCTCCTTCAATCGCACACCGCATTCAAGAGCTAGTGAACACATATTCCAGTTCGGAGTGTCTGGCTGTTTTGATGATTTAGAATCTGTCTTTCGCCCATGATACAAACGTTCTATCGCCAAAAGTGCGGCGTGGCTTTGCTCCATAGCTGGAGCTATGCCGCACAAGACATCGAGCAATGCTTAGTGATATGCTGGAGCTATCAGCCAAAGTGGGCCCATGAAGTGGTTGTGTGATCTTGTGTGACTTAGATATACTTAGATTGCTTGTGTGGTCATGCGAGGCTGCATGCCACCAAAGCAGCAAAGTCCTTCAGTGCTACATTCTTATACGAAGCCACTCTATATCCTGAGCCAGTTATGGCTCTTCTGTGCAGCCTACAGGCCTACAGTCGAAAGTAAGTAGTGTCCTTCATGCCGCATTGTGTTGATTGCCGCTGCGTTCAAAACACGCATGGATACAGTATATACCTTAGAAATTTTACCATGTCATGGTGCTGCTGTGGCTCATGTCGACTGGTGAACTCGCACATTGGCATCGATCACCTCTTGCCCTCTGCTTTCAATCTTGCGAGGGCGGCTTCTATGTTTGAGCTGAAGCTAAGAGCTGATGACGTACTGTTGCTGAGTGATGAAGGATTCTGAAGAATGCAAGATCGATCTTCTTTCCTGCTAACTAGAAGACATGTGCATCGATTGTAATGATTCACGACACTGGAAGAGGCAAAGAACCTTTAGAACCTTAGTAACTATAATTTAGTAGTCTGCTGCACAAAACTCTCTCGAGAAATGTAGTAATCTCGAGGCAGGGTTTGTCAAACTTGCGGCAGATGCTACTGCCACAGACTCCGGACCTAAAATTTAGCATCACTGACTCCCATTTTCTCGCAAGCCACATCTGAGGCGCAGTGGGCGTCAATCTACAGGGCCAGCCTGCCGAATATTGTCCATCCAATGTGCAGCATGCTTCAGAAGGAAAAAAGTGCTTTCTTCTTTCCGGTTCTTACAACATCTACTGTATGTGGATCAGCCGCGGTCGAATTAGGAAGTCCATTTCGCATGGCCACTGTGGGACGGTCAAGCATCACCCTCCTTTAAGTTTTATAACATTACATTAAAGAGCTCTGGGGAAGGAAATTTGACCGCTTGACTTGAAGTGCCATAGGTATCTTGCAGGGTTCTAGGGGGAAAGGGTTGTAATGTTGTAGTTTCAAGAAGAAAACGTTTGTCCTAGTGGTGTATTACTGCAGACTACGACTGTGACAAGAATATTCGCAAGATGCGAACACTGGTCAAAGAATGTTCAGTGGTGGAACTTTTGACCGAACAGACAGGGGCGTGTCATGGGCAGAGTGAGGAATGCACGAAAGACGCTTGACCAAAAAGAGTTCTAGGAATGCTGTAACGAAGTGGAAGAATACCTGTGTGGCCATTCGGGGAGTCTAGTTGTTGAATCACTACAGTATGTTACAAGTAGGTGGTGTGGCTCCTCCAGAAGATCATGACCACAACTGATTGCAAATAGTCGGAAACTGTGCTTAAAATGACCAGGAGAATCCCACTAATCCTCCTAGGCATTCTTAACAAAAACCGCTGGAAATAACTAGCGATGCAAAACATTGCAAAACGCCTCATAGTACCTGAATTCTCAACAATTGTGTAGATCAACACTCCACACCTCTGTGATGTCAGATTGGATGCTCCGGTTCAGGCCCTCGACAAATTTCCTCACAAAGACCGGAGTTCAAGATCTGCTGTGCCGCTGGGCAGCGGGGCAACAGGAATTAAAGAAAAACTGCCAGTCCTTGCATAGCTCGCAGCAAACGCATGCGCTGACTTCTGTGAACTAATCACCCTGCCAAGCCAAATACCACATGTGCACTCAGCAAAATCAATTGAGCACATGCTTTAAACTTGGCAACAAGTTGATTCACAGCCCACAGTCCTTGCAAACCAGCCAGCTTCAAGGCCGAAGAACAAGCCTGAGACCAAAATGAAGGTAGTAATCGTCTGCTAGTAAGTAAATCATTCACTGCTGCAAGGGAGGAAGTGGAGTAATCAAGCAAATTGAGCACGTCGTGTTCGTTCAAAAGGCACAAAACAGAGAGTTCCTAAGGGTTCTTTGGTTTTAAACAGTCGCAAACTGTGGACACAAAAACAATCATTCTGAGTAGCAAACAATCACAAAGTGTGCGAAGTTCACCACGGTGGACCTAAAAGTGAGATTGTTCCGTCTCTCTCCATGCCAAGTTCCAATACATCCAGAAAGTCGCTGACCCAGCCAGTCCAAAGCGCAGCTTCACTCAACCAGTGACCTGGCTTTTGAAAGTGCATCTGTCAGTCAGTTCGCCAGTTCGCTGCATGTCCTTCCAGTTGCGTGGGCGAGCTGAGTTCCAGCTTGCCTTAAATTATATATCAATATCAACTGATGTTGCAACGCTGGTCCACCGTTTTTGGTCCAGGCCAAAAGGTTCACCTTTCTGTCTAAAGCCAAACGTATATATATATAGTATAACATCAATATTGAACTGTACCTTGCACCTAGCCGCAGCCAAGAAAGAGAAATGCCCCTGCAAAGAGATTCGAGGGACAGGGCTAACATGTTGGAGCTTTTGCTCCATGAAAGTACAAGGCATTCTTGGCATTTGTAGGCATGTGGATTGCTGCTGCTGTTCGAAAGCGAGTCCATGGGGCACATTGCAGACATGTTGCCAAAAGTATCCAAAAGTTGCACTGGAGACGACCAAGCACCAACTCACCAACCGCTAACCATGCTCCAAAAAGAGCCCGTGATGCCACTGTGCAAGGTCTTTCGAACCTGCAAGCTCACTTGCAGCTTTTTGAACGGTGACACCTCTTGTTTTTTATTTCTCGATGCTTCCCTTGACTCCCTTGCCTTGCCTGTGTCCCTGCAGTACCCACTGGAGCATCCTGTCGAAACGTGGCTTTGCTTTTGGTGATCAAAAGGGCAAAACTTTCGAACCTATATAGGATCTTCTGAAACATATATACAGATGCATGAACACGCAAGGCAAATGCATCATAGCGGAGGTGTCCCTGGGGGGAGGAAGTTGGGCTGCATACTGCGCACTGCCATTGACAATGATATACCTGCACAAGAAGTGACAATGAATGATAGAGGCGCATGTGCAAAACAAGACAAATCCACTCCCAAAACCTCAAAAACCTGTCAAGCCAAGGCTAGAAGCTCATCATCAAAAGCCTTTGCCTTTAAAATTGGTAGACGATACTTGCTGTATCTTACTGTATAAGCTATGTCTGTCAGAGCTATGGCAAGAGCAAGTCATACGTGAAGCCGCACATCATCGAGCATGCTTCTCCAACGGTGAAGACCTTGGGCAAAGGGAAATCCAGGACTTTGCAATCGATCAGGCCTTTTGGCGAACGGAAATCTGTAGACTAGACCTGAATAGATCAGATTTTTAGACCGGAGGGGGGTAGGCCGCTAGTAGAGGTAGGTGAGGAAGAGGTAGCAGCTATAGTTTGAGTCTATCCTGATACCTGAAACAGTGGATGATGATGGCTAATAAAGGCCGTGTTCTAAAATAATTGTTTAGTGACTGTTACAGGTAATAGGACAGAACCAAGCTATAGTAGTAGCTAGGTAGGTAGCTAGTACCTACAAGTAAGCTACTACTGACAGGACGCAGGACAGCTCACGTTTTTTCCAGGAAGCTCCCCCCGCCGCCCCAAAGCTGCGGGGGGAGTTTCCTTGAAGAAGCGCGCGCACTAATCATTTGGTTCCTAGATTCTTAGGGAAACTTCACTTATAGGATCAAGCAAGTCCCGCGCAATTTCATTGCCCGAGTGAAAGATCGGGACTAGTGCCTGAACCAGATCGGGACAGCATGTTTGCACAAAATCAAAGCAACAGCAACATTTGCAGTCTATTTAACCCTTCAACAATGCTCTGCAGATGGTGGCCTCGTTGCAGAGTTGGGTCTGAAGCTTGGGGTGTTTGCTTCTAAAGCCTGGTGCAAATCTCTTTGCATAGCAATAGCAAGCATAAGAAGACTCTTGAGACTCTTGGGTGTGCATAAAAACATGGTGAAAGTTTGCGTGCTTGTGACTGTAGAACATGTTTGTATGTTTAAAGTGTCGCTGTGCAAGCGCGCAAGCGCGCACACACACTTGAGATTATGCGTGCGGATGTGAATGCCGCTCGCCACACGGCAACCTAAGGAACCAGATTCCTGAACAACCAGGTAATGAGGCCTGAGGGCCTTTAGTGAAAGGCCAAAATTCTGGGCCACGAAGCGACGAACAGGCCGAAATGACGGCGAGTGCTCTTGACTGCAGAGTGCACTAGCCCTTTACGGGAGATTGGAGTAACAGCTTGAAAACACCACAAAACCGCAGGTACCTCGGAGTGATCAGCTCCGATATCCTCCCAACTCATGAGCAGCTTCGTTGGCAGTAGACTCATGAGTGGGCTACTGAACCTGCAAGTTAAAAATCTTAATTCAAAGAAACAATCCAAACGGATCCCTGTGACTCCAAGGGTTACACACACACACACGCCTGCCCGAGGGGATGCAAAAAGAATTAAGGCTAGGACGGTGTGCGCGCGCAGCAAAGACAAAAGGATGAAGACATGAGAAGGAGGACGAGACGGGACAAAGGGTGTGTGTGTGTGTAACCCTTGGAATCATAGGGATCCTTTTGGATTTGTTCAGTTTTTTTCTACAGCAGGGGGGCTGGTTGTTCATGCAAGTACCAGCCCAACGAAGAGGCTTGCATTGAACACTGATATCGGTGGGGACGCTCACCGACGTACCTGCAATTTTCCTTTTT